TCATTAAGGTGAAGTTTTTGCCTCCTAATACCACTCCTCTCCTGCAGCCCATGGACCAGCAGGTTATTGCAAACTTCAAAAAACTGTACACAAAAGCTATGTTTGAAAGGTGCTTTGTAGTGACCTCAGAAACTCAACTGACTCTAAGAGAGTTTTGGAGAGATCACTTTAATATCCTCAATTGTGTAAACCTTATAGGTAAGGCTTGGGAGGGAGTGACTAAGAGGACCTTGAACTCTGCTTGGAAGAAACTGTGGCCAGAATGTGTAGACAAAAGGGATTTTGAAGGGTTTGAGGTTAACCCTGAGAGGAGTATGCCAGTTGAGGAATCCATTATGGCATTTGGAAAGTCCTTTGGGTTGGAGGTTAGTGGGGATGATGTGGAAGAGTTGGTGGAGGAGGACAATGAAGAACTAACCACTGATGAGCTGCTAGATCAACTTTAACAGCAAGAGGCCAGACCTGAGGAAACTGGTTCAAAGGAGGGGAGAGAGAAATTGAAGAAATTGCCTACTACAAAGATTAAGGAAATCTGTGCAATGTGGCTGAAAGTGCAAACCTTTATGGATGAAAATCACCCTCACACAGCTATTGCAAGCCGTGCCGGTGACTATACACTGACAATGTGTGAAACACTTAGGGAAGTACTAAAGGAACGAGATTTACAGGCCACTATGGACAGATATGTTGTGCGACAGAAGTCCAGTGACTCTGAAGCTGGTCCTAGTGGCATTAAAAGAAGAAGGGAAGTAACCCCAGAAAAGAACTTGACACCTCAAGTCTTAATGGAAGGGGATTCCCCTTCTAAACACTAAGACTCTCTCCTCCTCCCATCCCATCAATCATCACCAGATCTTCAATAAAATAAGTGTCATGTAATTGTGCATGCCTTTTTCAGTTTGTGTGTATTAAAATTAATATTTCATGTGGTAAAAATGTTTTTTTTTTCATACTTTGGGGTGTCTTGCACGGATTACTTTGATTTCCATTATTTCTTATGCCTATGGGGAAAATTCATTCGCATAACGATAATTTCGCATAACAATGAGCTCTCATGCACGGATTAATATCGCTATGCAGGGGTCCACTGTAAATCGTCATGCAACTTCCTAGCCTTTTCACATATGATCGCCTGAGAGATGCTATCTCCTGCTATCTGTTTTTCGTTTATCCACACCAATAACAGTCTCTCAACATCTTCTATCACTTGCGATCTCTGTTTTGAAAACAAAGTTGCACCTTTGGCAAGAACAGCTTCCTTGATTACCGTTTTCTTGGCCACAATAGTAGCGATGGTTGATTGGGGTTTTGTGTGCAACCTGGCCAGCTCGGAGACACGCACTCCACTTTCATACTTAGCAATGATCTCTTTCTTCATATCCATAGTAATTCTCACCCTTTTTGCTGTAGGGTTGGCACTAGAAGCTTTCTTGGGGCCCATGGTGACTTATTTGCAGGTGCAATCACTAAAAAGGCTGTGATAATTTGAAATGTTCCGATTGTAAGCTTGGAAGCGACCGCAATGGCTGGCTTGTAAACACTGGCACCCACGGAACAAGTGAGGTGGGCTCAGGCTGCTCGTGGACGAGTCTTGAACGAATCGTGTCGAGCAGTTTTTTAGCACTAGCCGAGGCAAAATTTTTGCGTTAAAATGTATCGCTAGGCGGATTTAACGTTATGCGATGCGTTCGTTAGGCGAGGGTCCACTGTATTACTTCTGTTCTATCGATTGAGCACAAGAAATCTCTAACTCACCTGTTTCAACTACAAAATAAAGTGATTGGAAATTGGTAATTTGGCCAATTTAGTGCAAAGTTCAAAATATTCCAATATCATAATGGGGTTCAGAATAAGCAATGCAGGCATTCCTGGCACTAAACTAACATTTCCTCTGTTCATTAGTTGTTTTCAGGCTTTACTAATGAATTCCATTTTGTTTTTTAATTAACAATGAATTTTTATTCAAACCAAAAAAATAGAAGATTTACTGTCATGCAATATTGTAATAATTGTATAAATAATATCAGCACATTTGTGAATGCTTATTAGACCCACCAGCTGGCGTGTATTAGATGTGTGAGGTCATTTATTTACTTTTGAACATTGGCAAAAATTTAACATTTTCGATATTTTGAGTTCAGTTTCAAGCCATTTTCAGTACTAAAACCAATCAAAATCATCTCTATTTCTGTAATATATCTTCCATTCTATCAAATGAGACCAAGAAATTGCAGATACAACTATAAAAAACATACGAAAAAAACACTGTAAAGTTGCTGTTTTAATCGAAAATTACGGTCTCGTTTTTTTTTCGCTCATTATGCACTGTGTGCTGCAGGATTTGTTTTATGTGGTGCACACATACCACATAGATGCATTCTCTCATATCTAGTCCCAAATTTACCGCTCACAGTTTATCAGAGTGAGCTGAGATCTACAGTTTGAACCCTCAGCGTAAAGCCGTTGATCTACTGTACAGACTCTGAAAAGGTTAAATACCTGTACCATTTCATTTCTTTCCATACATGATCATTTAATATAAAATAGTGCTCCTTTAGCTGTAGATCTCTCAGTTGTACCAATTTAACCTCATTTATACCTCACCATTGAAATTCTCTTACTCCTTTTCTCTTTGTTTTACATAGTGCTAGGATATCCAACTCTATTTCAAAACATTATCAATTCTTTCTTATCAGCAGTACTCCCATGCACATTTGAACAACCCAACTTTAAAAATTTCCCTTTTTTTACTCTTTGAAATTGATACAGGAAAGGGTTACCAGAACCTTGCTTTAATAAATAAATAAATAATATATTTACTACAAGTACTTGTACATGGCATACAGGCCTAGCTGACATCAATGACATACAGTGGCACCCCAAGTTTTGGCCATAATTCGTTCCAGAAGGACTGTTCAAGTGCCGTTGTCGAATGAATTTGTTCCCATAAGGAATAATGTAAATTAGATTAGTCCATTTCAGACCCCCATAAATACACTTACATAATTGTTCGAATTGGGAGCTGTACAAAACTCAGGGTACTACTGTATATAGAAAGCCCCTTGTTATGCAGAGCATTTCGGGCAAATTAGGTTCTTGTCCCAGGATGCGACCCACACCAGTCGACTAACTCCCAGGTACCCATTTTACTGATGGATGAACATAGACAACTGATGTAAAGAAACATGCCCAATGTTTCTACTCGTGCTGAGAATCAAATGCAGACCCTCACCACGTGAAGCAAGAGCTTTAGCGATCAGGCCACGGGGCACCATGGCCTGATTGGTTGCTTTCTGAGACACTCATTGCTTGTGGATGGAGGATTCTAACTCATTTCCCCATGGAATCGTGGAATTGAAAGAAGCACTACACGCAAGAACTATTAAAAAATTCAGAAGAACTCTGTTGAGTTGGTATAAACATACATGTTAGGGATGGGACAATACCAGGATTTTTGCCAATACAGATCCCCAATTTTTGGTCAGTGCCAATACCAAAACATTTCCTGTATTTTTTATTTCTGAAATTATGTTAAACGACCATGGTGACATTACACATCCCTGTCTTAAGGCCTTCTTTTACTGGAAAATAATCTCCCCTAACCTGAGTGCACTATCCTCATAAATACTCTGAACTGCTTTCAGTAACCTACCACCTATTCCATACACTTAAAACATCTGCCACATTCCTCTCCTATCCACCCTGTCATATGCCTTTTCTAAATCAGTACATGTAAATGCAATAATAAACTTCATCTAATCTGAATATTGTTAATTCATATGCTTCAGTGTACAGGTGCTCCTCAGCTGACGATGGTTCGACTTGGGATATTTCATCTTTACGATGGTGCAAAAACAGTTATTTTGGAGGTGAAACTTGAGATAATTACTCAGCATGAAGACAGCAGGTCCATAACTTGTATGCATTTATTTGCTTTTCACTACTGGTATTTAGTTAGTTACAGTAATTATTTGGGACCTGATGATCTGTTAGTGTGTGAGCAGGGTAATATTTAGTGAAGGGATTCAGGGAAACCGGTTATTTTTATATAGCCGGACTTGAGTCCTGGAAATGGGAAGTACAATGCCTGCACTCTAAAGAGGGGTTCGGGATATTAGCAGTTTGGAGGGATATGTTTTATATCTTTATACGTATATGCTTCTAAACTGTTGTGTTCTGAGCACCTCTGCAAAAACAGTGATTGTGTGAGTGAGGTGAAAGTGTTGAATGATGATGAAAGTATTTTCTTTTTGGGGATTTTCTTTCTTTTTGGGTCACCCTGCCTCGGTGGGAGACTGCTGACTTGTTGAAAAAAAAAAAAATTATATTTAACTTACGATGGGTTTGTCAGAATGTAACCGCACCGTAAGTCAAGAAGCACCTGTAAACACTTGGTCTACACATCCTGTACCCTTCTTAAAGCCTCCTTGTTAATCTGCAATCGTACTCTGTCTTACCCTTAATTCTTTCAATAATAACTCTACCATACCCTTTACCTAGTATACTCAGCTGGCTTATTTCCCTGTGGTTATCATAGTTCTGAAATATAAAAAATATAGAAGTATCGGTATCAGTATCAAACAGAAATTAGGTATCGGTAGCGATATCAGCAAACATTTTGGTATTGCCCCCATCCCTAATATTTCTAGATGTTGGAAAGTGGTGTGGAATGAAAAGATTTCCTTTGCAGTACCTTGTAGTCTTACAATACACCATTGACCTTACTACTGACACTAGACCTGGGCTAACACTGGTCTAACTTAAAACCAACATTGTGGCATAGTGACAGTTGCTTTTTCATTGGTCTTTAATTTACATTATAAAACCAATGTACAGTATACTCTCTGAAGCATGGATTATGTTCAGAACACAGTACACTAAACTAATTTATAAAGAAAATTTGCTTTTTCTTTTTTAATAATTTTTACAGTAAATTCGTGACGTGCATACTTACATGTATTGAAAAGTTTATACACTAATTTAAATTACTGTACCTTCAGATATCAAGAAGCCATCAAGTATTTTGCAGTTGTACCAAAGTATCGATTACAGGCAGTGGAGTTAGCAAAGCAGGAAGGATTGCTGGTGACTGACAAGAAGAAGCTAAAAGGAATGTCAAAAGAGCAAATTAAAGAACAAGAGGAGAAAATAATTCGCCAAGTTATTGAGAGGAAGATGGATATCCGTGGTGTTTATGCCAAACCTACTTATAAGTATGTTATTAAAGACCTGTTGTTTGTAGTAAATTAGGTATCCTCAGAGGGGTACTTCTAAGTGGTTGCAAGATGTTTTCTTTCTCAATTGTTTTTATAACATGAAAATGCCTCATCTTATCTGGTCCAAATTTTCAATGCTGGTGTGCAGTAACTAGGGAAGGGCTCGTGCAGCTACAGTAAACCCTTGATATAACGGACCTCAATTTATTGGAAATGCAGGACAAAACCCCTTGGGTCAGTTGATGTGAAAACAATGGACAAAGTTTGTTAGTTACAGATTTGTCCATTATTATTACAATCATAGCACCACAATCTCTTTGCTATCCACCATAATCACAATAACTGGCCATCTGCTTCCCTTATTTTTCAGTTAAACCGAAGGTTTACTGTACAGTATTTTCATGTGCCAGTGGCCTCTGGTCAGTTTTACATAGACATTTCTTGATTTTAGTTTGAGTGCAGTAACTTGAGAATGCCAATTTGGATGGGTTTCAAACTTTCAACAAACATCTGTCCTATGTAGAAGAGGGTTGGCATTGTTATTGAAGTGCACAAGTGCCCACTTGACTTTTTTTTTTTTTAAATGGCATATTTTTTCTGTGAAATAACTTTGGTATGCCTCTTCTGAGCAGTTTCAGTATTTAATGCCTGATGCATTTTATAAATAGGATGGTATCCTTTTAGGTTTAGGCTTTGTAGATGCAAATATTAATTAACCTTCCCAGGTGCCCACAAGAAAGCCAGGATAACACAAAGTTGGTGATTCGGCTGATGTTAATAACTACAGATCAATATCCAGTCTTTCAGTACGAAAAATATTTGAAAAATTAATCCACAAGCAACTGTAGATGCACCTAACCAAACACAGTATACTGACTCTGCCAGTTTTGCTTCAGACCAAAAAAAAAGAAAAAAAAAGCACTATTGATGCAATAATAAGTATGCTAAACATAGTTTATTCAGTACTTGGGAGACATAAGTATCCTACCAGACTGTCCATTACTCTTTGAAAGACTTTTGATACCATTGACCACAGCACACTCCTAACCAAGCTTAATCACTATGGACTCAAAGGACACAGCTACACACATCTTCACTCCACCCTCAATAACTGATAATGACATGGAACCAGAAATGACACCTTGTCTAGTACCATATCCATAAACCTAGGTGTCCCCCAAGGTAGCATTCTGGGCTCTTTCATCTATATCAGTGACCTACCCAATGTCATACAGCATATAAAATTTGTACTCTGCTGATGGCACAACCTTCTTAACCCCTTCACTGTCAGAAGTACTTGAATTGAAAGTGCTCATAATGTCTGCAGTTTTTAGACGAAAAAATTCTTCTGAAATAAAAAAAAAAAAAAAAATTCTGAAGGTAATGTCACCAAAAATGCAAAATTTTATGGAAAATTTATGAAAGTACACAGATGCAAAGTTAACAGTTTGGGAACAGTTTATACATTGGCAATTTCTCCTACTTCGCACCATATTTTAAATTGTAAAGTGTTAAGATTTAAGTAATTAGGAGATCTTAATTTAAGATTTTTTTTTTTTTTTTTTTTCAACAAGTGGGCCGTCTCCCTACCCAGGCAGGGTGACCCAAAAAAGAAAGAAAATCCCCAAAAAGAAAATACTTTCATCATCATTCAACATTTTCACCACACTCACACATTATCACTGTTTTTGCAGAGGTGCTCAGAATACAACAGTTTAGAAGCATATATGTATAAAGATATGTATAAAGTATTGAGTATTTAATATTTAGTTTAGGGTGAGAAGATGGTTTTTGAGAAGAGTCTTAAATTGATGTTCAGATTGGGTTACTTTAGTATTTACTGGTAATGAGTTCCAAATTTTGAGGCCCTGTATGTACCTTTACCCTTACCTTATACCTTTGAAGAATTTCGGGAGGTTCCTTACACAGTAAATCATTTTAGTCATTCTTCTCTGTATGTTCTCTAATGAGTCGATGTCCATCCTGTAGTAAGGAGACCAAAACTGAGCAGCATAATCTAAATGAGGCCTCACTAGTGATGTATAGAGCTGTAAAATAACTTTTGGACTTCTGTTACTTATACTTCTTGAGATCAATCCAAGTAATCTGTTGGCCTTGTTGCGCACACTTCGGCACTGCTGTCTTGGCTTTAGATTTCTGCTTACCATGACTCCCAAGTCTTTTTCACATTCTGTATGATCAAGCTCTACTTCACCTAGATACTGGTTTTCTAACAGAGTTGTAGATGCATGGAACAGTCTTCCCAGTGGGGTGATAGAGGCTAGGACCTTGGGTAGCTTTAAAAAGAGACTGGACAAATATATGAGTGGGAGGGGCTGGGTTTGATTGGTGTCATGGGGTACGGGAGTTATTTCTTGGGTAGCTTTAGGTAGAGGTCGTAATAAAGTTGGTAGAATTACCGACAATATGTAAAGTAAAAGGACACAAGTGCAACTAATGTGACATTTATTGTGGCAACGTTTCGCTCTCCAGGAGCTTTATCAAGCCATTACCGTAATGGCTTGATAAAGCTCCTGGAGAGCGAAACGTTGCCACAATAAATGTCACATTAGGTAGAGGTCGTTTTGATAAGGACCTGCCTCGTATAGGCCAGTAGGCCTGCAGTGTTCCTATGTTCTTATGTCTACTCTCTGAGCCCGGCCATGGGCCAGGCTCGTCTGGTGCTCGCCTGGTCAACCAGGCTGTTGCTGCTGGAGGCCCGCTGCCCCACATATCCATCACAGTCTGGTTGATCTGGCACCTGGTGAAGATACTTGTCTAGTTTCCTCTTGAAGGTTTCAATACTTGTTTCAGCAGTGTTTCTGATATCTTCTGGTAAGATGTTGAAAAGTCTGGGACCCTGGATGTTGATACAGTGTTCCCTTATTGTCCCCACCACACCCCTGCTCCTTACTGGGTTACATAGAGTTCTTACATAGTGTGGTGTGGACATGGAATACATCAAAAAGTGATCTGTGTCTTGTGTTATGGTCGTGCATCCTATTAACCCCTTGAGGGTCCGTGCTGTAGATCTACGACTTTACGTTGAGGGTCCAAACCGTAGATCTACGTCATGAGCTCAGCTTTCTCTGATAAGCTGTGAGCGGTAAATTTTGGCCTTGATATGAGATAATACATCTATGTGCTATGTGTGCACCACATAAAACAAATCTTGCAGCACATAGTGCATAATGAGAGAAAAAAAACTGAGATCGTAATTTTTGATTAAAACGTCAACTTTGCAGTGTTTTTTTGTACATTTTTTATAGGTGTATTTGCGATGTCTTGGTCTCATTTGATAGAAATAAAGATGATTTTTATTGGTTTTAGTACTGGAAATGGCTTTAAACTGAGCTCAAAGTAGCGGAAATGTTAAATTTTTGCCGATGTTCAGGAGTAAACAAATGACCTCACATGTCTAATACATGCCTGCTGATGGGTCTAATATATGTTCACAAATGTGCTGATATTATTTATACAATTATTACAATATTGCATAACAGTAAATCTCCTATTTTTTGGTTTGAATAAAAATTCATTATGTGAATAAAAAATCAAAATGGAATTTATTAGTAAAGCCTGAAAACGTAACTGATGAACAGAGGAATGTTAGTTTAGTGCCAGGAATGCCTGCATTGTTTATTCTGGACCCTATTTTGAAATTGGAGTATTTTGAACTTTGCATTAAATTGGCCAAATTACCAATTTCCGATCACTTTATTTTGTAGTTGAAACAGTTGAATTGGCAAATTCTTGTGCTCAATCAATATAATAGAAGTAATACTAGTGAAATAGCTAAGAATTTGGTCGACTGGAATAATGTAATTGGCCTAAAATGGGAGTCAAAGTCGGCAAAATCGCCAATGCATAAAAATCGCTGACACATCAAAATTCACAAGAGCATAATTTCGTCAATTTTCCATCAAATTTTGTACTTTTTGTTTTATTACCTTCAGAAAAAGATTCTCTACCATTTCAGAAGAAAAAATAACAAAATTATTTTTTGAAAATTCTTGGACACTGGTGCGCCCTTTGAAATTTGGCCTCTGGACCCTGAAAGGGTTAAGGTTGGTGAGGAGAAGTTTGAGTGTAGAGTTTATGTTTGAGTGTAGTGTTCTATGCATGTAGTAGGCACAAGAATAAGTATGGATTTTCTTTATGGTGAGTAGTTTTAGACTTTTGAATATTGGTGGAGTATGCTGTCTGGAGTGGGAATTTATCATTCTGACTGAAGCCTTTTGCTGGGTTATTAGTGGTCCTAGGTGACTTAATGTTGTTGATCCCCGTGCATAAATTCCATAGGTGAGATAAGGGTAGACGAGTGAATGATACAGTGCAAGGAGAGCTGATTGTGGAACATAGTATGCCTACTGTCTTAGAGATTTTCTTCGAAACTTGTTGTATATGGATCTGGAATTTAAGGCTTCTGTCAAGGTGGATTCCTAGGAATTTTTCCTCTGTGAGTCTTGTGATGGGTGATCCATTTAGCATTATATTAAATGGAGCATTTGCAGCTCTGTTTCCAAACTAAATGAAATGCGTTTTGTCAGTATTGAAGGTAAGCTTATTAGTCATCATCCAGGTAGATATTTTCTGCAATTCGGCATTAATAGTGTTGGCCAGTATGACTGGGTTTGGGCGAGAGAAGACGCATGTTGTGTCATCTGCAAATACAGTGGGCCATCAGCTAACGATATTAATCCGTTCCTGAGAGCTCATCGTTAGACGAAATTATCGTTAGCCGAATTAATTTTCCCCATAAGAAATAATGGAAATCCAATTAATCTGTTCCAGACATCCAAAAGTATTAAAAAATTATTTTTTTTTCATGAAATATACATTTCCCTACAAAGAAAACAATGAGACATGCATAATAACTATATAAATAAATGTTAAAATGACACTTACCTTTATTGAAGAATATTGATGAGTGATGAGACATTGTTTTTCTTGAACACTCTGGGATTTTCAGAGTGATACATTAGTAAAGGCTTCACTTTGCAATCCCCACTAGCATTACAACAAAACAAGAAAGTTACTCTGTCTTTC